TATGCCATTTACCATGACGAGTTCTTCCACCTGTTCGATCCCTATGGCAGCATGGAGAAGCCAGGCGGAGATGAGGAGCAGGAGGACGAGGGTGACGAGGAGGGAGGCAGAAAGAAGAAGCGCTGTCCCAAGGGCCCAAAGCGTTGGCCCGAACGAAACACGGCCTCCTGGGTTCTGCTCTACGATGTGGATTCCGTGATCAAGTACATCGATGAGCGCAGTGCGGCCAAGAACTGGAAGGAGAAGAACCTGTACAAGTTCTTCGTGGTGGATGTGCTGTCGCACAAGAAGGCGGCACCGAATGCCAGAATCCTGCAGCTGCTCACCGATCTCTCGATACCGATGACCTGCAGCAACAAGCAGTACGGCAGACCGGAGTACGAGATCTGTGCCACCAACGAATCCCTTGGATGGTTGGAGCTGGAGAACTGCCTGCCCGTTTGGAGCAGGCTCAATCGACGCAATACGGCTGGCAAGTATCGCAACCTGCCGGTCAGCAAGATCAAGAAGTTCGACATCGAGATCGAGGGGCGTTTGTGGTCGCTATGGGGCAACCTGCATCCCGAGGCTCCAGTCTTCGAGGACGATGTGAGGGGTCGTCAGTACCTGGGCTGCTATGTGATGGCCTGTTGTGCGGCCAGTGTGTACCGGCTGATGGACTGGAGCCCCCATCTCCTGGACACCATCGTTGTGAGCGGAAACACCTACTTCAAGGAGAGCATCGATCAGATCAGCAAGGAGGACTACGAGTTCTCGCTGGAGAACCTGAACATCGACTGCTCCATGGACACCATCAACTTTGTGGTGCACATCGAGCATGTTTGCTACGGCAAACTCTACCGGGTGCCCACTTTCAACCGGATGAATCTCTCCGAGGCTCTGATCTACTTCTTCAGCCACTACCAATTCGGAATAATAAGTGTGCGCAAGCGGTCGCTGGCGATTGGGTTCTGCCCCGGCCACGATGGCGGATACTTCATGTACGACTGCCAGGAGAAGGACCACCCGCTGTTCCCCAAGCAACAGGGCGCCTCCTACATGCTGCGCACCCGCCACCTCCAGGTGCTGCTCTACTGCGTGGTGGTCACCCTGAACGTGCCCTTCTACAACATCGACTTCAGCATCCACAAGGTGGAGATGCTGCGCGAGGGAGCCACCGTCGAGAACGAGGAGGAGGAGGGCGGCGACGAAGAGGGCGGACCTTGATGAGGAGCAGGAGGAGATGGGTTTGGTATTCGTTCGGTCAGACGCTGAAAATTAGTTACTATTTGTTTGGATAATATCTATGGAAAAGAAATTAAAATAACATTACATTTATTTTTGAATAAACACTTTTACAATAAATGGCTACACTGGAAAAACAAACGTAATCAATTTAATTGTTTTTTACTCTATTTTTGATTTTTATCCCCAGCGGTTTTTTTAAATATACAAATATATCAAATTTGTAACGAATTTGACTATTTTCACAATTGATTTTAACATCTAACAATTTAATTTAAATTTAATTTGAAATGTAGCAACTTTTTTTATTAAATCATACAATTTAATATGCATTGTTTTAAGCATTAAGATTGAATATTTAATTGAGTACATGGGTTCTACTGATTAAAAATATTAATTGTCCAGAGCTGTAAACTTTAAAATTTATAGGCGCTATAGGTATAAACCCTAACTAAAGATTTTGAATTTCCATATTAATAAAAAATTTAAAGCTTTAGACAAAAACACAAGATTTACTCGAATGGTATTTCATTCTACTGCCTGTTTAATCATTTTTTCAATATTTCCATGTATAGGAAACAATGATTCGCTTTACCCGCTACGTGACTAATAAAAGCAAGCCAGAAATAATCAAACGCAGATACTCTTCAAAGTCGAAATTTAATCGGGTCTCTAAGAACTAAGCTAAACATTTAACAACGATCGGATGACGCATGGTCCGGTGACTCGATGTCGTCAGGCGGTGACTCATTTCTGGATGACTTAATGCCGCAGACGACGCTGTTCCTCGGCCTGTTTGTAGTGATAGCCATCGGCACGAAGTTCGTGGGCGGGCTCTGGTTCCAGTGGCTCCTGGGTCTCCGCATCGGATGGAGCCATGGGCTGCTGGACATCCAGGATGTAGGGCATCTGCTGCTCCTCGGCTGGCTGATCCTGGAATTGCTGAGGCTCTTGTTCCTGCACCTGCTGCTGCTCCTGCATCTGCTGGAACTGTTGCATCTGCTGCATCTGCTCCTGGTATTGCTGGTAGGTGAGTTGCTCCTGGGAAACTGGTGCGGGGGGCAGGTAACGGCTGGCGGGCTGTGGCTGCTGCTGGAGTTTCTCCATGACGGCCTCCTCAGGAGCCATCATCTCCATCTGGGGCATCATCATGGGCTCGGCATCCATCTGGGCAGGAACTGGAACAGGCACTGCTGCAGGTGCAGGTGCAGGTGCAGGAGGCAGGTAGCGAGTGGAGGGCATGGCTTCCTCCTGGTCCGAGGGAGCGGGCGGAGTAAGCAGGCTGCTGGGCATCGCCTCCATCTGACCCTGTTCGTTCGGACGCATATACTCCACCTGCTCGGGCAGCTCTCGCAGCTCCTGCTGTTCGATGCTCATGGACACAGCGTGCTCCGGCCGAGGAGGAGGAAGGTAGCTGCTGCTGGGCTGCAGATGGGACACATCCGCGGCGGCCAGGCAGGCGCACAAAGCGAGGGTCAGGCAGAAGGTTTTCTGCATGAGAAGAATATATATTACATTATATATGATTTTAGCATTAAAATGGATTCAAACATGTTATTGGTCATGATAACAAATTTTAAAAGCGAAAATTTACATGAAAACGGCACTTTAGAACATGAGTCTTAGTAGTAATTTCAGGATATTAAGTTTGGACATTATCTTCTCTCTTTTATTTATTTATATTAACTACTTAATATATTTTTACTTTAAAAGACAATCAGTATAATTGTCCAATACTTGGTGTTAAAATTTTACAATGTATAATGACTTTGAGTTTATGATATCTATGAAATTATATTAACATGTTAAACAAAACAAAATTGTAAATATTTCGTAAAGTTTGTTTTTCTAATTTTTGTGACAGATAAATTTTTCAATTTGCAAAGGATATTCATCAGAAATAATCCAATTTCTGTATTCTTAAAACAGAAATAAATTATAATATGAGATTTCAATAAGCCTTTTTGTGCTATCCTATACTCCTTGCAATCCTTTTTTTTTTTTGGGCCTTATAATACCCTTTGCGACTACTTACCATCTTGTTGGATGTTTGGCTGTGGAGCGTCTGATGTCGAAACAGCTGGAAGTGATGATATTTATACGAGTACAGCTCCAGAGGAGACCTTCGGCTGGGAGAGTCAATAAGTTCAAACAGTGGGCTTAGAGGCGGGTTCCGTTATTTGCAAAGACCATCGATTTGTCGTCGGTTTTCTTTTTTTTTGCTTTGGTTTTGTTTTTTTATTTGGCGCATCTCAACAAACAGTCAAACAAATAAACATTCGAAATGCCTAAATGCCCAAACATTCGAGCTGAATCATCGCCACTGGCCGCCAAGCAAACCAAAGCAATCCGATCCCATCCGATCCAAGCCAAGCCATAGCGAAGCCTCAATTGGACTCAGTTTAAGCCGCTTTTGGCCATTTTCGTACCCTTCCATAGAGTATTTACGATTTTTTGTTACCTATAAGGAAGTAATCTAGTTAAAGTAAGTAATCTAGTTTGTTTTTTATGAAAAGAAAATTCTACAGGTATGTTCGGCAAGGCTAACATTTATTAAAATAAAAAATGTTATCTATAAACAAGTTCAATTTTTGAAAATAAAATTGTTTATTTTGTGCTTTAAATGTTATATATAAAATATAAATGCATATATATATTATCATTACTATACTATATTTTTGGAATATTCTTAATGCATATTTAAAAATTTATAATTTTTAGGGTTATATAAATAAAATAGATTAATTAGCTAATCTAATCTATATATTTTTGAAAATAATATAATAATATTAAAACGATTTCAATTTAATAAGATTTGAATAAATTACAATTTTGCTTAAAAATTACAAACTTTTAAAAAAGTGTATAGAAATCAACCTGAAACACTATTAAGTTAATATATTACAGAAACAGAGTATTCAATCATCACCATTTTTAAACGCATGTTTATCCATTTTTAGCGTATCTTTTCTCTTTATTTCTGTCTTCACCTGCTGACAGGTGCCACTTGACGGGGCGTTTGACAATCTCAATTGCGCTCGAGAGCTCCGGCTCGAGGCGTATAAACTGGAGCATGGCTGGGCTGGGGACCCAAGGTTCCCCGAATTTGCTTTTCACTCTGCGATTTTTGCACGTCCCCTCCTGACCTTCGGGTGCGGATTTCACGGTCAATGGATGGGTCCAGCACCTGACCTAAGATGTCTCCGTATCTCCAAGGGGCCGGACCGGAAAAGTAAATAACCAATCATGCAAAAAATCCCATACAATCAAGGGACTACAGTTTTATAATTGTGATGGCTGTTTTCTCAAAATTAGCATAAAAACGAGGGACGGATCTAAAAATAGTATTTACTTAATTTAATTGTGTAGTTGTAAATAAGTTTTTTGATTTCCAATTGTCGAAGACTTTTTGAAATTGTTTTGATAAAATTATTTAAATATAAGTTGTTTATTTCAATACTTTAAAGTATTAGTTCTAAGAATGTAATGTTTACGTAAGTTGCTTTGCATAATTTAATTTTGATTTTGATTGTTTAGATACGTTTTTTTAATAGGTTTTATATTAATATTTATATAACGTTTTTTTAATAAACTAGTTCATACCGTATTTTTAAATATGTGCTAATATTGTTTTATAAAAAATATATGAAGTCAAATGTTTTTATAATATATAGATATATTTTATTTAAACCATTTAACACATAAAGCATGAGTTTTGATGTGAAACCTATTTTCCCCATCTAGTTGTCAGGTTGTGAAAATTCAACCCACAACTGTAAACATTTTTCCATTTTCACACCGTTCACACTCCCTTTAATGGGAACCGAACCAAAAACTGTGACCTGTTTTTATACATATTTTTCGGTAGCGCTTTTATAAATTGTTTTATAAGTGTTTAACTGGCCATTCACAATCCCGGTCTGGATAGAGTATGTACGAGTGTAGTCGTTGCGGTAATCGAAGAAGCGGCTTAAGTCTTCGCGCCGGCATCGAGTTACATTCCACCGGAGAGGATTACATAGAGGGCGGCTCCAGTTGGTGCAATTCCTGCGGTGAACTGACCTTCTTTATAAGGTGCCATGCTGATAAAGATTTCGTCCAGCCACTTATAAGCAACACTTTGGACTCGATCGATCCGGTGCCGGTTAAGGTGACGGCTGCTCTCCTCAGAGGTGCTCTCCATCCACGTACGGTTGTCCAAAACCAACAGGCCGCCAGTCTGGCTAACCATCTGAATAACTGGGCCGTTGAGGCCATGGATCCTCCGAAAAGAGCGGTATCCTTCACTACTCTGCCCAATCGACATGGCCATATGGCCCCGAAAACTCGGATACCAGATGAGGATGTCCCCCGACCGCCGATAACTCCACTTAATGTGATCTTGAGTCCGCGAGTCCTGAGCGATGATGACAAGACCCCTCGCAACTCAAGTAATGTTAAAGTGGAGGAGAGAAAGCCATCTTCATCCAAAAGTCCTAGGTCTGAGCAGGTCAAGGGAGTCGAACGGTTGCGATCAATTGCCCCCAGCCATCTAAGCCAAAGGCTACCAGACGAACAGACTCCACGCCTTTCTGCGGCTAATCCCTATGCCAAAACCTTTAGACCCTTGAAGAAAACAAGTGAAAAACCTGAAACTTCTGTTAAGAAAATCGTAAATACTCAAGGGCCGAGTTTAACCCTCAAGGACATAAAGAAGTTGCAGCGCCGCTTTGCTGCTGATGATTTTTCCGGACCGGAGAGTTCCGCTCATTCCAGCGATCGATTCTCCGCCGGCAGTGGCCCGATGAGCGTAGAGCCCAGCAGTGAGCCTACTAGCACTGTGGAGCTCCAGAAGAAGATCGATCAGAAACGGCGGCAGTTGTGTAGGTTGACCTCAATGCGGACGAGGCTCGATGCGGAATGTGAGGCAACCAAAACTGAATTGGAGCTCCTGGAGCGAAGAAATCGTAGGTCCCAGTCCCGACGAAGTAATCGGGAAAGGGGCGGAGCTCATATTAGGCTGGTAAAAAAAATAGAACTGGAAAACGAAATGGATGATCGTAAAAAGTTGATAACGGAAGATAAGTTTGAAACGCTCTTAAAAACCTTACACGAGCAGGCTGTGCCGCAAGTAAAGAGAGAGGATCAGGATCAGTATAAGGAACTGGATGTGAATCAGGATCTGGATCAGGCTGAGGATCAGGAGTATCTAGGCAGCCATAACTTATATACTCCATCTCTAGAAACTGACACAGAAATCGCGACTGAAAGCAAGTGCGATGCAGAGATGGAATCCAACACAGCTTTTGCGTCTCCGAAGGGCAATGAAAACAGGGAGAAGGATTTGTCACCAACCTATATACCTCTGCCCTTTCAGCTGAGAAATCCATTTGCGACTCCTCGTACCGTCGGCTTTCACAATCACAACGTCCACGATACCCAGGATAGACTTCAGCGATCGAGGCCATTGTGCAAATCTCGCAGCATCCAGGCCTTGGTGTCCACCGCGCAACGTGCCAGATTCACTGGCTGCGTTGACGATCCCCTGGAGGTGGTGAAGCTAATCAAGAATCTGGAAGATGGCAACGAAGTCCAGTTGAAAGCCCCCAACGCACAGTTTTCCACGGTGGCCTGTGAGGAGCAGGAACTGGCCCAGCTGATCAAGAAAAAACCGCAAAAGGCAAAGGAACTTGACATTTGCCGATTGCCAGTCCGCTGCCCCGACTCCGATTGCAATCGGCTGTCCTTTGTCTCCGATTTTAACAAACACCTCCTGCTCGATCACCGTTCGTTGACCGCGGAGCGGATCCAAGCCAGGCAGACCAAGACCTTCTTTCTGGACACGAACATGGCGCTGATGGACCAGCCCAGATGTCATATGCTTTATTTGGTGCGGGACAAGATCTTCAACACCGGTGGCGACGACATGTGCGATCTACTGCCCGTTATGGTGATGAGTGCCCGCACCCATTTGAGCACGGTTTTGGCTTCTTGTGGAGATCGGAAAGTAGGAGCCAGTAGCCGGAAACAACCGAAGGGCGATAGGAAGCTCTTCGTCCTCTGGCTAACCGGACTGGTGCCGCAGGACCTAAAACTGATGGCAACGCTTTCGACGTGGTCCACCCTAGGTCCCGATTTGGCGGATTGCGCTAGTGCCAACACCAGCTATGTCTACGATATCAGGGCTCCCAACGAAATGGGTTCCATCTGCCAAAGTGGCTGTTCAATTATCCTGCCCATGCACATGATCAAGCGGATGACCGACAAAGGACGCCGATTCCTGGCCATTCAGGTGCAGGTCTATTGAGGATCGGTCACAACCGAAGGCAACATTTTATCGTACTAATTGGATATATTATTACTAAATACAAGAGACTATAATATTAATTTTTGTTGCTTTTTAAGTAATGGCAAGTGGGCGGGCCTATAAGCTACAACAAAAAATATATAAACTGTTAATTTTCCAAGTATGATTGTTAATTGGTGTTTATAAACCTCTTATAATTTAATGCAGTTCTTTTCAGCAACAAAAATATTGGTTTATAGCTATATATATTATAAGTATTTATTTTTGTTGCATTTTACGAAATTGAAAAAAAAAATTCATTAGCTTCAATAATATATATATGTGAATCAGTATAAGTGTATAACTTTAACTTAATAAAGCGAGCAAAGCCAAATTTTTCTTGTTGTTTTTGGTGCGCTTTATTTTATCAAAAATCTTGCATACTTTTAGGCTTCATGATCAACGTCCTCAAAATATTAACACAATATTCTGTTGCCTTCTTTCCTGGAAGCTGTATAGCTGGGATTTTCGCATTAATAAAATAAATTTATTTTTTTATCCTTACATCTATATATAAAGGATTGATAAGGTTGCGCTGATTTTATTTATTAAAATTTTTTATATTACGTTTTCAATGCCTAGCGTTTTCTGTCTTATAACACTAGTTACATCGAAAGTACCCATTCAGTTGTATATCACAAATAATACGAAAAATATTATACATTTTTTGAGTGTCACCTTTTCAAGGGAACGTAAATTTTAGATTTATAAATTTAACTCGATCGTAAATTGTCCGTTTAAGTGACCGATTTGCCTCTCTTTCGGCCCAAAACCAAGATAAGCGAACAGCGGACCATGTCGTCTCAGTTCTGTGCGAAGTGCGGTAGCTCCAGCGGCAACGACGAAGTGGCGACCATGGATCCAACTGAAAGTGACTTTGCCCTGGAGCTGAAGCCGGCGCCCAAGCAGACCTGCATTCCGGAACACCATCGCCGAATGGCCATCTCGGAAACCAAGTAAGTTGGGACTTACTTAAACCTTAAACTTTATATTCCCCTACCAGCTGGAGGGATCCATGTGCTGGCAGACAAGGGAAAACGCTCATTGTTCTGTTATTCTTCTTGGTTCACAAATTCTATGCTTGAAATTATATGATATTTTTCGAATATGTGCTCGTTCTTTTTGGAAATGGGTTTAAATATGCATATCAAATTAAAATGTTTAATTTTTTATTTTAATTAATCATAAAAGCCGATTATTATTAAATCTAGTTGATTGCCTATTTATAAGTGGAAAAATACTAAGTAAGAATATATAATCTGATGCAATTAATTGTAGTTATTAGGAAAAAGTAACCGTAAATAACATGCATGTTTACTTTTGAGAATCACAAAATTATTATTTTTTTAATATTCTTGAGAATAATAATTATTTTTTTTTAGCAAAAAGTGATTTTTAAAAATAATTATTGTTAATTTTGTTTACGTGTTTTGAGATATTTTGTTTTTTTAAGTGATTCTTAAAGATTTATGATTTTGTTAAATTTTAAGTAGGCATATAAGTTAAATATTTATCTTAGAGTTAACATGGCAAACAAAGAACGAAATGAGAGAAATAAAATAGGCTTTATTACTATTTTTATTAATTGTAGATTTCGCTAAAGTCTATTTACAAGTGCTTTCACAAAAATCGTAGACGGTGTTCTTAAAACTTAATTATATTTTAGGCTACAAAAAATTATTATTGTTAATCAATATTTTTTTATTATGTTATAAATTTTATTAAGTTTAAAATCGTACAAAATTTGAATAGATGTACCATAGTAATGATTTTATTTTTGTTTTGCATGTCAATTACATAGAAATGTGTCCCTAAATTAATGCGAATAATTGGCTATAACTTAAATTATATTTATTATTTCAGCGTATACCAGCGGGAGATTGGTTACGATGTACCGGAAAAGTCGTGGTCAGTCCTGTATTTTGGTGCCGGCAAGGACAGAGCCTTGAAGTAGAGACAACAAAACCGCAGATCAGACAGATGACCCGTTCTCCATCACAATGTTCCGTATAAGCAGCAATTTAAATCGAATGTCTGCAACCGCCTGGCCCACTGATTGACTCCTTCGCCACCACATCCATCCACCAGTCATTCATCAGATGTCGCGAAATGTTATATAAAATTGAAATTCGCCCTCGTGCCAGTGCATATGTGATCTTTTTGTGTGGGTCGTGGGTACGGCTGCAATTGATGATGTTGTCTCCGGCGGTTCTGATACGTACGATTGTGATTAATGGAGACAGCGTCATTGAGCGCGATCTGCGGCGCTTCAGACATATAGTACAATACTATACTACTTCGCACAGCGATCGCAGAACTATCCATGATGTCATTCATGGCACCCGACACATTGAGCCAAGATTGCTCTTGAGAAGTGTCAGTTATATCAAAAGCGGAAATAATGGCTTAATGAGACAAATGACGCGACGCTGACACATCTGACAGTTTCTAAATACGTGTGAAATTCATCAAATTGATCCCCAATGTTTGCAATCATCTATCCAATGTCAGTTATGAAAAATTTGGCAAATGGTCTTAGCACGAAATGATAATCTCCCAATGAATAATCTAAAATAGTTTTTTTTTCAATTGTGGGGGAAGAACATAAAGATATTTTAAGGAAAACAATAATCCTTTAATTTTTTCAGGCATTTAGGGAGACAAGTAGTAAATATGAAAGGGTTGGTCACAATAGTTTTGTAAACATTGTTAATATAAACGCTTGTCAATAGAAAATACCAGCGCTTATATTTTTAATGATTAAATGCGTACAAAAATTGAAAATAAAATATATTTGTTAATTTCCTAGTTCAGCATTATGTTTTCAGTAGAAAGACCTCTAGAAACATATTGGATATCAAAATTGTTGATTTAAACTTTAAATACTTTTAAGCCGTCTTAATAAATCTAAATTTTGGCTTCCATGCTCATCTGACCTCTTCTGATTCCCCCTCCATAAATTTATGGTCTGTCTGCGTTTTAAAATGGTTCCGAAAATAGCTTTCTTTCAAGCATGCCAAAATCTGTTTGTCTGCTCGTTAGCATATCTGCATACTGAATATTTGGCACTGCATGCAGATGGGTGGATTTAAAGATTCCGGCCACATGTCAGCTTTAAGCACTGCTAAAATGTCTGACCCAAATAATTTATTTAATTAATTTAAAAGTGTGTGCCAATACAATATTTAGATTAGGATATGAGGATATACTCGTAAGTATAATACTGCATTTATTTAGCTTAACCTTCAATTGCCAACTGCATGGCGATTAGATTACGCTTATCGGGTAAGATAAGACATTTCTATAATTTCTATTTTTAAGCCTTATGATATAAAAAAGTCACTAGGACCTTGGCTTTCAATCAAAAAGTTTACAAACGGGCCAAGAAATGTCTCATTTCCGTGGTGAATTTCTGATTATTCGCTGCATATTTTCCTCATTGTAAACTGCATTTTATAAATGAGCTAAAAGTGGCAGTGACATCAGTTGGCACTCGGCTATAACAAGAACATATTTATACCATTCAAGTGAAAAGTGAGATCAGCTCTGGGTAATTACGAGTGAAATTTTTAAATGTGTTTTTTGGCGTGTTCGAATTGGAATTTATTTGGCCAAATTCCTGCTAATACTGTTAGGTACATTCACACCATGAACTCTTATTGCAGATATATTTTTGCCTATTTGCTTGCCACATTTTGCGGCCTGCTTGTTTCTCTGTTATAATTGAAATGGACCACAAAATTGCTCTTCCCTGAATGCGGCATGCCGCAAACTTCAAAGTTTAGCTCTACTCCGCACATTTCTCATTGATGGTTATGATTGATGGAGTCGCACTCGATTTTCGTTTATTTTTCTGCCCGACGTACGGTTTTTAGACGTTCGTTTTTCACCAATTTGATACAATTGAACTTTGTCGTATGTCCACACAGAATTCTTTCCATACATTTCGCATTATTTGCATAAAAAACATGGGCAAGCTCAAAGTCCAAAGTCGCCTGTGTTTTCGTTTCCCCGTTTTTGTACTTCTGGTGTTTTTTTTTCTTATGTGGTAAAATCTCACATTTCCATAAGGAAAACATGAGCATAAGCATAAAATTATATATGCACAAGAATTTTCAGAGCCAGCGAAACAACGGCAACTGCACTTGCAAGTTGCAACAATCTGAGCAATACACTTGAAGAAAAGTGCGATATTAAATGTAGGCAGTGTGGACTATTGTCATTTTTTGTACTTATATATTTATATGCTTTTTCCAACAACATCTTACTATGATCAGTACAACTAAGCCATTTAACTTTTGTAAAATCAAACAAACAATTGTAGAGAATCTCCCCAATAATAGTAAATTCTATTTTTACCTGAAAAATTAAAAACATTAACGAAACTACCAAAAATACTATTTTTTAAACCTAAACAATACGTTTTTTTTTTATGTAAAATGTAATTAACTTTTTATTTAAAACAAAAAATAATCCTAATATTGTTTTGTTTTTTAGATTTATTTTTTATAAATTTGTTTAAATTATTTTTGATGTTAAGCTGTGTGTACTATCAAAATATTTATTATTATTTATGCGTACTATTAAAAATCGTATTAAACCTTAAGTCCGAATTCAATTTTAGATTCAGCTTTTAAAATATATGATTTTTTTCAAGTGCCATATGATTGGACAAGGGGGGTGTGTTGGAAGAGGTGGTTTCTTTGCTCTTGCCAAATTTCGCTTCACTTGTTGTGGCTGTAATTGCTGCCGTCTCCGAGGGGCCAAAGGGGGTGAGGGGTTCAGAGGATTGGTATCTGTCATTGACATGGATGGTCGTCGTGGTTCGTGCCTGCAGCTCAAATGCGTTTTGCATAATTTTAAAGCCTTTTTAAAGCGAAATGCAATTATGGGTTGCGATTTTGTGACCGAAACTATTTCGCTCATTTTCTTTTTTTTTCTCTGTTGGAACAAATTGAATTTCACTCTTCGCTACACACCGATAGGGGAAAGAGAGATTTTTCATTTCCCATGCGTCGTATACGTGTTATTTGCGAATTCGCAAAGCTCGAACAATTTTGATCAATTTCTATGCAATTACTTTCTGCCAATTAGAGAAAAATTGATTAATTAGCCTTACCCAGCTCGTATGATATATGCTCAATCAATTATTGATGATGCCGTGGAAAAAGGTTTTTGGCCAACATCTGTCGCTAGCTCTGTCAATTATTCACAAATGATGAGTTTTATGAAAACGTAAACTAATATTCTAAACACAATTTCCACATTTCTCATGGCTGCAAAAAAAGCGTTCAGATGAATCAGAAAGTAGATTCCGCTTATTCACATCGATAAGAATGGCTAATCGGGCCCAGATGATTCAGGTATCTGCGATTTTCGAGTTGTTGAGTCAGAGAAATAGCTAAAATGTAAAAATAAAAATGTTACTTATTTTTTTCTGTAATTGATCTCTTATTTTGGAATCAAACGACACAATTGAACTTGAACTTGATGTTAAGTGACAGCAATTGAAATGTCTTAATTTCCACTCCCAAAATTTGGGTCAATTCTTGCTGAAACTCATGGAATGCACACAAGTGAATAATTTTTATAACTTTAATTAATCGCCTGGTATTATGGTCATAAAGACTTACGTCAAAAATTCTAAAAAAAAAAAAATTTCTTAAAAATTGCGAAAGTTTTTGAATAATTTTCGTATATGCATAAAACCAGCAACAAAAGCGTTGCCCCAGTGGCCAAAACAATGTTAAACTATATGGCTTGTGAATGCCGTCTAAGCGTGAATATATTGAAAATCGATTAGTGCAAAGTGAACAGGAAAATCAACAAAATGGAAATGACAACGCCAGACAACGTGGCTCTGGGAACTGGGGGCCACGCATAATTCTTGAGCTGGTGGCTTCGTACCCATTGTACTGTGAAAAAAGAAAAGCATAAGAAATGAATTTGTTCACAACTAAAAACCTAAAATATGCTTGACTATATATATTTAATTTGCCACGAGCTGGTATTTAAAAGGTAAAAACTAAATTTACGGAAATAAAAGTTTCATTTCAAAAAGCTATTCTACCAAAAAATAACAAATATGACTTCAAAACCAATTCTTTAAATTAGGATTAAAAAAGCTCAAAATAGGATATAAATCAATAATATAAATTCTTATTTAAGAGGTAGCATAAGTTGTAATTCAAACATAATTTAAATTGTAATATAAATAAAAAACAATAAGAAATCTGATTAAAAATCAAATAAATTTAAAGATTGAGGTTATTTATTATTGTTAATTTGATAAGTTTTCATTTTTCTCTGTGTGAAGTAATCATCAATGACAAAATTTGCGTTTTGCCGGGGGACAGGTTGCAGTTGGCTCCGACTGCTGACCACCGGTCACCAGTTTTCAGTCTCTAGTATCCAGTATCCAGTAACCAATGACCACCATCACCATCACCATCGGCAGCTGCCCAACAAGTTGTCTTCAATTAGCGCCAATCGCAGCACAACAACGAAAAGCAATTAAGTCACGCAGCACTAACCAACTTGGGTGTTCTGCTGCCGCTTATCAAATATTTTTTAATTGAAAACTTATTACTGGAAGTATCCCAAACTTGGTTATCGGCCAAGTAAGTTATGTTATGATGAGATTTGCATAATTGGAAACACGTTAGTTGGCTGGTTTAAGGTATTCATCAGTGCCTCTCTCCTTCGATTACAGATTTGCATAGTGCATTACTCACCAGATACTTGAATGATTCAGAGTTGTAACCTTCATTTGCCTATGAAAATACCATATAGACCCTAACTAAATCGTCAGTAAACTTTAATTGGAATCGGCTGGCTTTATTGGGCAATCATCTTTGGGCAAGTGCAAGTTTGCATATTTTCGAATTTTAGTTTCAGCATGTTTATTCGCATTTTATGATTTTTTCGTTTTCTCGAGTTTAATTTTTCGGATTGGGGTCTCGGTGGTGCGGTTCAAAAACGTGGCCATCATTTTGGACGATATTTGTGCTCTTATTAGTGGAGCATACCCAGACGCAAATCCCCGAGCACCGACACATGTTGCGACTGCCGGTTTATTTTAGTTTACATGTATTTGAATATAACCAAAATGTGCGAAAATATCAAGACATCTGGCAATTATAATGGGCAGGAAACCGTAGGTGGGATGCGGGGATTATTTTTCTGGGGTAATTTGGTAAGAACTTGTCGAAATGATTAGAAAACTTTCTTTATTTTGATTTCCCCTTGAAAATAAGAACGTATTGTTTGTTTAATCTATACTTGAAATAATTATTTTCCCAGATTTTGTTTATTATATATATAATAAGTATGGTATGATCCAGACACCAAAAGCGCAGACACCTGGAAAGCTGGAAAGCGTTTTTGCTGGCAAATAAATAACCCTGTTGATTCGTGAACTGAAATATCGTTTCTTTTATTGTAATATTTTCCACCTTCAAAAAAAAACAATGTTATTTCTTAAACGTTCCCTTTTCTTTTAATTCATCTTCCTGTATGTCAATTTATTTACATAGCATATACAGTGAATCATTTTTTCTCCGATTCAAACACGC